TTTTTCCCTTAAAGCCCCAAGCGATAGTTGTAAGTCATAGTTGCACATTCTTCTAGTTGCTGTATGTGGGACGCGGCCTCAGCATGGCCGGAGAAGCAGTGCGTCTGTGCGCGTCCGGGATCCGAACCCGGGCAGCCTGCATCGGAGCGCACGCACTTAACCGCTAAGCCACGGGGCCGGCCCTGTATTTTGTATTTAAACATTTGTGTTCCTTACTGGTTTACAGTTCTCTTTTCTAGTGCAAACTTTTAGACTTGTCTAGATGGAACTCCAGTTGATTTGAGTGATAGAAATTGATCTAATGCGTGTGGTGGCTTTAAAAGAGCTACAACTGCTGCTTTGTCTAGCCTAAATGGTAACCTGAAAACTTGATCATAAGTTGGAAATAATATAAAAATAAGGAGGTATTTTGGTATTGCATTTTAATGAAATGAGCAACAAACCTTTTAAAGACAATCTTTCTAAATGGTACTAGAACCAATACTCTTAAGACACATATTTTAAAAGAGTGACTTAATTATCATGTTCAAATAAATAATTGAGTGTTACTTGTTTGTGTTCAAGATTGCAGTGGTATTCTGGGTGGAACAAGTTAGTGCTTACAAGTAATAATAGCTGCTATTTATTGGATAAGTCGTGTACCTGGCACTCACAACAATCTTGAGAGATGGGGATTGTTATTCCTATTTTACAGGTGAGGAAATTGAAGTTTAGTGAGGGGGGTAACTTGCTCAAGGACATATAACTAGTAAGTGGCAGAGCCAGGATTTAAACCCAATTCAAAAATCTGTGTTTTTAACCTCTATGATATATTGAAATTTTGTGTTGTCCTCCCAGTTCTGGTTGTTGATGCTCATTTTACACTGAAGAGTTGGTTTAGCTATGGCATTTAAGTAGTGGCATTTTGAGGAAGTAGGAATGTTTCTTTGTTTTCATCTAGAAGTAGAACTTCCCATGCCCTTGGACTTAAACAATACTGTTAAGTGTTGTGCTTCTATTCCAATGTATCGTCTCAATTTCCAGTTTACATAGGAATAAGTTCATCAGAAATGTATTTCAGCCGTAAATAAGGTAAATCTCCAAGCACTGGAAATAGTATGTTTTGAATATGCATCTTTAGAAGGTGGGAAATGAACCCAAGTATTATAAATCATTCTAATGAGTTATTGTGAATAACCCTTGTTATCACAGATCTTTTATTTAAATTATTTTTTCATTTCCCTCTTGAGCATTTATAGGTGGATGCGGTTTTTTTTGACTAGTTACCCTTAAGACAAGACTGCTTCCATATTCATATTTTGCTTTACTCAGGTTTTATAGTTTCTGTGATAAGTGACGTTGATTATGTAAGATAATTCTGGCCATTCTCACATAATTGAAACTTAAAATATTTTGTGTTTCAAAGAAAGGAGTGGTCTTTCAATTGAATTTTGAAAATTTTAAGTTTAATTGCTTATATAATGTCAGTATGTCTACATGGTGTTTTTGTAGTTCACCTTATTGAGAACTAGGATAGAAAAAAAATGTACTAAATAGTTGCCTTTTTAAATTTCTTAGATTTAAAACAAGTTACAGTCGTCCCTCCATATCCGTGGGTGCCACATCCATGTATTCAACCAACCACAGATCCTATCGGATAGGGAGGGCTAACTACTAAGGGACTTGATTTTGGTATCCTCAGGATGAAGGAGGGGTGGGAGGGGAAGTGGCTGGAACCAATCTCCCTGCGGATACCGAAGGACGACTGTGCTTAGCATGGAGGAAACTAAATTTTCTTTTGTCATTAAGTGCAGTGGGAATTAAATGTCTGATAGGCTGAAAACTCCAGTCACACATACATCTCTTTACTGATACCCTTTCCTACCCTAATTGTCTTCAGATGCCAAGTCCATTCACTCATCAGATTTCTTGAATTTGGTGTTCCGAACGGAAAGGCAATCCCTGTCCTTAAGAAGTTCACATTTAGTGGGGAAGACAGACATTTAGTAGATTATATTCATAGTATCAATGAAGGATTAAAGGTGCTAAGAGGAGGTGAGGTTGTATCTAATATGAGTGGGAGTGATATGAACAGCATTCTAGGCCAGGGAGCTGCATGACCAAATGGTAAACAACATGATTGGAGGAATTACAAGCTTCCTGGGTTGATTGTTAAGTGGCAAGACATAAGATCCTAAAAGAGTTTGAGGAGATTGGATATTATCCTCTTCAGTATCTTATAAAATTAGGTTTCTAACAGAGCTCTTAAGTTTGGCCCTAAGAGCAAAAAGTTCAGAAAACATTTGCCTGCCTACTTTTTACCTTGCTCTGTACCAGAAATGTGGGTGTAAGACATGGTGTTATCTTCAAGAAGCTCAGATTAGTGAAGAAAACAAATGGTACAGTGGTGCAAGCAGTTAAGTGCACGCGCTCCACTGCGGTGGCCTGGGGTTCGCCAGTTCGGATCCCGGGCGCACACTGATGCACCGCTTGTCAAGCCATGCTGTGGTGGCTTCCCATATAAGGTGGAGGAAGATGGGCATGGATGTTAGCCCAGGGCCAATCTTCCTCAGCAAAAAGAGGAGGATTGGCAGATGTTGGCTCAGGGCCGATCTTCCTCACCAAAAAAAAAAAAAAAAAAAAAATCACTGTTTTCTTAGAACATGGTAGGCATTTGATTGCCAGCCCCCTAAAAATAGTCATTTTTTTTAGAAGGAAAATATTATTCTTTTTTTAAAATTTTGGTAAAATAACACAAAATTTACCATCTTGACCATTTTTAAGTGTACCATTCAGTAGTGTTAAATACATTCACATTGTTGTGCACCCAATCTCGAGAAATCTTCCTCTTGCAGAACTGAAACTACGTACGATTAGCTCCCCATCCACCCTACCCCAGCCCCTGGGAACCACTATTCTCCTTTCTGTCTCTATGAATGTGACTAAGTACCTCATGTAAGTGGAATTAAGGGTCATGTTTTTAAAGTTAACTTTCTTAATAGAATGGTATCTTAGATATATAAACTCAGCTTCTTATAACAAAGCATATAGTTGGAGAATATTTTATAGTTTTGCATCTTGACTCATTGAGGCAGTAAAGTGAGATGATAATTCATTGTTGGTAGACTAAAGAAAAACAAGGCAAAATTCCTTATGAGCTTTTCTTTTTTTCTCTTAAGCCAAGAGTGTGGCTATACTTTCCTCCATATCTAAGCCCCAAACATGTGTCCAGAATTCACCCGTACCCTATCATTTCTGCATATTATATAGAAGTTGTATCTGTACTTGAATTCTGGCCATGCTGTCTTTGAATTTAAATGGTGTCTTAATCTATAAAACCAGGAATATCCCTCTGCTCAGGTTTAAGTGTAGTTGGTGGGGTGTTTCTCGTAATCTTTTCAGTTCACCTGTTCAGTATCCGTTTAGTTACAGCGCATTTAAGGCTCTTTTAAAAGCCAAGCTATTTGGATACTAACAAGGAAGCTTTTATATCTCTCTAGAGGAAGAATTTCAAACTTTTAGATTTAGAATATGAAGTAGGAAAATGGAAATTAAGATTTGTTTAAGAGGGCCGGCCCCGTGGCTTAGCGGTTAAGTGCGCGTGCTCCGCTGCTGGCGGCCCGGGTTCGGATCCCGGGCGCGCACCGACGCACCGTTTCTCTGGCCGTGCTGAGGCCGTGTCCCACATAACAGAAACTAGAAGGATGTGCAGCTATGATATACAACTATCTACTGGGGCTTTGGGGGAAAAAATAAATAAATAAAAATTAAAAAAAAAAAAAAAGATTTGTTTAAGATGTTGAAGATGCCTTACCTCGTAAGAAGTACATTGAGTCAAGTAGATATATGAATTTGTGAGACTTTCATACTTTTCTTAATTACAGACTCTTTAATAAAAAGCGTCTTTTTATTAATCAGTTAATTTTTAGTCAGTTTTTAATTAATTGTTTCCGTCCACTTCTATGTAAGGCTAACCTACTGTTACCTTAATTTGTATATTATAATGTAACTATTATATTTAAAAATCACTTTGCCTTGAACGAAACTCAGTAATAACCTTGTTTATCAGGTATGCATGTGTATGTGTATATAGCAGTAAGAATAAAACAACTCGTACAGTTTTGGTTTGTGCACATGTGATAGCATCTCTGTGTATAATGAATATATACGGTAGTTTGCCTCATTTTGCTGTTTTATGTATGTGTGTTTGGGGAGGTGGAGGTTGTTTTGTGGGCAAGAATAGTATTTGTGCCATCACTGAGGTGAACAATACGGGAGTTGTAGTTGGAAATACTTTTGATTTAAGCTGCACTTTCCTGTAACAAAATGTGAAGTTTTGGCTGAAGTGGGGGCCTGTTGAAAAATGATTTTCAGAGAGCTAGTTCTAATTCTGTTTATGAAGTAGAAATGTGTGTTCTCATATCTTAGAAAAGTCCTACATTTTTATGATCTTAATTAGAGGCTCTTCTTTCTACAGAAATAGGAAGGTCGTTGATTATTCACAATTTCAGGAATCTGATGATGCTGGTAAGTTTTGTGATTTCAATAAATTATAAGTTAGACCAACTAGTGGAAGAATAGCTAGCTTATGTACTTTTTTATCATGCTTTTGGAATAAGTTTTCTTTTTTATTTTTAGACTACATATGTATATAAATTATGTCACAAAACAAGCAAGTTAAACTTGCATGGATTTTAACTTTTCCCTAGTAAATCATTGATAATGAACACTGGAATAATTTTTTTCTTACCTGGTTTTGGAGTCCAAAGTTTAAATGTTCAGTAGTTCTGGTGCAGTGTTTATTAGTTAATATATCCCTTGCTATAATCTTAGTAAAACTTGTATCTTGTAATAGGGAGTATTTAAATTTTTTGCTTAATAAAGTAACTAAGATGAGAGTATTTTGTGAAACAACTTTGATTTGTGAACTAATTCATCATAAAATGAATAGTGTATCTTAAATCTTAGCCATAAAAGGTTTCTTTAGAATAAGTCCTTAATCTCATTTTCCAGATGCATTTACTGTTCTTTTTTTTTTTTTTTTTTTTTTTAATGAGGAAGATCAGCCCTGAGCTAACATCCATGCTAATCCTCCTCTTTTTTTTGCTGAGGAAGACTGGCCCTGGGCTAACGTCCGTGTCCGTCTTCCTCCACTTTATATGGGACGCCGCCACAGCATGGCCTGTTGAGCGGTGCATCAGTGGGCGCCCGGGATCTGAACCCGGGTGACCAGCAGAGGAATGTGCACACTTAACCGCTACGCCACGGGTCGGCCCCTCTTTCTTTCTTTTTTTTTTTTTTTAAATCTAATTTTACTTTATAAAGATAATATGTGCATTTTGGGAAAACTTAGAAAATGTAGAAATGTATAAAGAAGATTAAAAAAAGAAGATAATCCAACCTCCCAGAAGTAATACTGACATTTGTAAAATGCTTGCTAAATGTTTGCATTTACTCATTTAATCCTCAGAACAATCCTGGCAATGAAAAACAAGCCATTTTAACTTCTTTGTTAAAAAAGGCCTTTTGCCTTTATTTTCCTTTTAAAAACGTAATTGAAGTCTTGCTATAGAATTTTGGGCTCTGGGCCGGCCCGGTGGCTTAGCGGTTAAGTGTGCGCGCTCCGCTACTGGCGGCCCAGGTTCCAATCCCGGGCGCGTACCGACGCACCGCTTCTCCGGCCATGCTGAGGCCACGTCCCACATGCAGCAACTAGAAGGATGTGCAACTATGACATACAACTATCTACTGGGGCTTTGGGGGAAAAAAAAGGAGGAGGATTGGCAATAGATGTTAGCTCAGAGCTCATCTTCCTCACCAAAAAGAGGAGAATTAGCACGGATGTTAGCTCAGGGCTGACCTCCCTCACAAAAAAAAAAGAGAATTTTGGGTTCTGTCCCCTCCCACCCCATCCCTACTTATGAGTACGTAACCTCTCGTATTATTAAAAGTTATTTGAAAAATTACTATTAATGGTTGTACAGTATTCCATAATGGAATTTATAATATATCCAACTATGTAATAATTGCTGAAGCTTCAGACTACTTCCAAATCTTCACCATTATATATAATGGTGTAGTAAGCAGTTTTGGAAATAATCACTTTTTAAGGTGGGGTAATTTTCTTTAGTTGTATAGGACTTTTGAAATCAGAGCTGTTTTCCTCAAGTGCCAGAGTATGCTATATTTATAATTTTTTATAATTTTATTTATTTTTTTCCCCAAAGCCCCAGTAGATAGTTGTAGGTCATAGTTGCACATCCTTCTAGTTTCTGTATGTGGGATTCAGCCTCAGCATGGCTGGAGAAGCGGGGCGTCAGTGCGCGCCCGGGATTCGAACCCGGGCTGCCAGCAGCAGAGCGCGAGCACTTAACTGCTAAGCCATGGGGCCGTCCCTGAGTATGCTATATTTAATACTTTAGTTTAAAAGTAAAAGTAATTTACTTGATAACAGTAATTGTATTAGGATTATAGAATTGTGGCATCTTTACATTCTAAATGCTTGTAATATAACCATATTACTATAATAATTTTCAAATACAAAGATGTGAAGACAAGGGAAAATCTTGAATAAATTAAAAGGGTAGGATATAAAGTGATAAGAGATTTGGCTGTGGCTATATTAAAATATACACATGACAACTAAAGGGTAATACGCAAAATGGAAATGATTGAGTTAAGGTAGTGGGACTGGGGTGGAAAAGAATTTAAATGTTTGTGAGGAGGACTAGCCCTGAGCTAACATCTGATGCCAATCCTCCACCCCCTTTTTTTTTCTTGAGGAAGATTGGCCCTGAGCTAACATCCGTGCCCACCTTCCTCTACTTTATATGGGACGCCACGACAGCATGGCTTAACAAGCGTTGCGTCGGTGCGCGCCTGGGGTCCGAACCTGCGAACCCTGGTCTGCCGAAGTGGACCATGTGCATTTAACTGCTTGCACCACTGGGCCGGCCCCAAAAGAATTTATTTTTTTAAAAATGAAAGAAAATTATTTGGCAAGTCCTGCCCCCTCACCATTTAAATAGCATGAGAGATAATTATCTGAGTAAGAACAGTGGTAATTTCTACATGTAAAAATCATAGTATTTTTCATTAAATTTGAAAAATGCTCTGTTTAGATGAAGATTATGGAAGAGATTCGGGCCCTCCAACTAAGAAAATTCGATCATCTCCCCGAGAAGCTAAAAATAAGAGACGATCTGGAAAGAATTCACAGGAAGATAGGTAAGAGGCATTGTTAATCTGTTCTTACACTGTCATGGCTCTGAGATGAGGGTAGTCTCTGATGTCTAAATTGGTGGAATCTCCATTTACTTTGGGAAAGTGTCTACTTAATGTTGTTTTGCTATTTCATATTATCTCACGCAGTGCTTCTGAGTCTAGAGCTTAGCCTCTTTAAGATCATGAGGCTTCCTTGGACTCAACCTGGAATCCAAAGTGATCTCCAAGATGGCCTTTGTTGCTACCTCAAACCTCTGAACATAAGCAGAAAGATTGTTAAGTATGTAGTTTGTTACCTAAGGTTAGTATTGACATTTTCATCATAATGATAGCAAAGAATATGTGACCTTTCCCATTCAGTAATAGATCTGGCAGAATCATAACTAAAGCTTATAGAATCTTCAGGTGTATGGCCTGCCAAGTTTTACTATTTATAATCAGTTCTTCTTCATTTAAATAATTTAATCATTTAAGCAGTTTCCTTTCCCTTAGTTTTATAAATGAGTTCATACGAGTTGTAATTTTAACTATAATTGCCTCATGAGACCAGGGTATTGTAGCTTTCACATCTGCTCTCACAGGTATATACATGTACTCTCTTACTCAGTGTAGCATAACTTTCAGACCTCCTTGCTGATGGTGATGATGAGGATGATGATAGCTACTATTTATGATTATTATGTACCAGTCTCTATTATGTGCTGGTTTGTATTCATTGTCATTTAATTCTCACAACACCCTTACTAGGGTAAGTAACATTAACTTGGGAGGGGTTCAGTGATTTATCCAAGGTTACTCAGCAAATGGACCAACAGGTTTTGAAACCATGTCTGTTGGACTCCAAAGTCCATTTTTTAACCTTTGGACTATACCATTTCCAAATAATACTATTAAGTGTGAGCAGTTCAAAGAAATGAAATATTTCTCACTAGTTCTACGATATTTATCTTCGAGGACTAAAATCACCATAATAAAGCCCCAGGCAGAAGTCATTACATTCTGAGTTCACAGGAGGCTAAATTTGTAGAAATAACAATATTAAATACACACATTTACCTAGTATTTTCTGTTTGCTTGTATTGCTAACCTCTAATATTTTTTTCCTGGAGAATTTCAGAAATGTGGTTTTGAGGGAAATTAAGGCAAAATTATACTTGGGGAGACAAGTCTTCCAAAGTTTCATAGTATATCTCTAATCCAGTTTATTGTAGCAGCCCAGTTTAGAACTATGTTGCATTATATTCATTTAGTATATTTCTCCTAGGAATGAGCTGAATTCCTGGCCTGTTATAATGTCTTGTCCATGTAATTGCTACCTAGCCTAAATTTTTTCGTGTTGGCAATCATTTGGTTTTATTATTCTCTCCGAAGTGTCAGAAATGGATGAAATAAAATACAGCTTTTATTGCCATTTGTATTAAGTGCCTTGTATGTTTATTCCCTCAGACCACTATTATGTTGATTTTTTTCTGTTGGTCTCTACTTAAAAGTTCAGCTTTTATTGACTTTGCTGTAATGGGGCTCACAGATTGATAAATGCTCTCTATAAACTCAACCATAAAAGAACTAGAGAAAATGATACACTTCTTTGTCATTGTAATAGCATTGTGAATTAAATGCTTATTTCGCATAAAAACATTTACATAGAATAGTCACAGGTTTCAGAATATATAGGTGTCTTGGATCAGATTGCTTAGTAAAGAAGTATGTTTGGTTTTTCTCTTTTCTTAGGAATCTTGGGTACAGTAGTTTGTCATTTGAGTGTGGTCTAGATTATGAGATATACCAAAAGAAATTTACAAGACTTGCTGTTTGAGAAAGGAAAGCCATGAAGGCAATTCTTGTGTATGAGTGTTCCTTTTTTTGTCAGAATTTCTCGTGGAATCCTAAAATTTTAGCACTGAATAGTACCAAGTGATTTACCTAAGATCATACAACTAATTAATGACAAAGATCCTAAATTCCCGAGTTAAGATTTGTGAGGACATAAAATGTGCATCTTTGTGACTTAAAAATTATTTTATAAAACTTTCCATTGAACTTTGAAGCTCCTTAACTTCTTTTTTTTTTTTTTTTAATTTTATTTATTTATTTTTTCCCCCAAAGCCCCAGTAGATAGTTGTATGACATAGCTGCACATCCCTCTAGTTGCTGTATGTGGGACGCGGCCTTAGCATGGCCGGAGAAGCGGTGCGTCGGTGCGCACCAGGGATCCGAACCCAGGCTGCCAGCAGCGGAGCGCGCGCACTCAACTGCTAAGCCATGGGGCCGGCCCAAAGCTCCTTAACTTCTTATTTTACTTTGCAGCGATGTTGAGCTTACTTTTAGTTTTTCTATGACAAGGCAGGCCTATGTGTTGATATTTCTGATGTATTGAAATATTGGAGGCAAAAAATATTAGGTGATAGTTAATTATTTTCTTTTTTGTTTTAGATAACTTTTGAGGCATATTGTAATTTATATAACTAAACTCCAATTTCCCTTAATAGTTGTATTTTAGGTGTTTTTTGCGTCTGTATTTGGTGCTGTCCGTTTATTTGCCTACTTTATCACCATTGACACATTATGTAATTTATTTTAGTATTTTTATACTCTGCCTCTGACAACAGAGAATTTTTTTCTTGTTAAATGTTCTTGTGAACCAGGTCTTATCCATAGGTGAGAAATTTTCAGCCTGTGTTGAGATACCTTCTTTTTTTACCTTTGGGTCTTTGGAAGCTGTATTTTCCAAAAGTAGATAAAATTGTGCTTATTCACCAGCATCCCTATAAAGGAGGGAAATAATGGAAGCAGTTTCACTCCTCAGCATCTGTTTGAATATTTTATGTATAAAAGAGGTGTTCTTCAGTTTTCTCCAGTCAGATACCAGAGATCTATGTTTACTTAGATTTTGATCTAAGACTTTTAAACTTTTTCTCCCTTCCCCTTACAGTGAGGACTCAGAAGAAAAAGATGTGAAGACCAAGAAGGATGATTCTCACTCAGCAGGTAGTAAACAATTTTTAATGTAATAGGTATAATTCTATTTATGTATTCGTTGAACGTTTTAATGAGTGGTTTTATAATAATGCCAGACACTGTTGTAAATCCTGGCATTGCAGGCATTACACGTTTCCGTCTTTGAAGAGCTCGTAGTGATTCTGACTCTCGGTGGCTTATTAGTCACTCATGAAGGTTTTTTGAACATACTGCTTATGCTCTGTCCCACCCCAGGATTTTTGATTCAGTAGGTCTAGGTGGGACGTTGGGCTTTGTTTTTTAAAAGTATTTACAGATTATTCTCATGCATGGTCAAGATTGAAAACCATTTATCTCAACAAATAAAAGACATCAAACTAAATATAATAATAATATGTATAATACTAAGTGAAATAGAGGTATAAAAAAGAGAGTGATCGGCTCTGAGTTGAAAAGCAAACTAAGATTGGTTTCAGTGTTAGTCTTTTTAGCTGAGAGGTAGTCCTTTGAAACAGTAGCCACAGAGAAAGCTTTTTGTAAGAATTTTAACTTAAAAGAATTAATGAGACTTCATGGCCAAATAAATTGTTAAATCCTGATTATTTATTGTTGGCAAATATTTTTTTAAGTTGAACTTTCCTAAGAATTGAGAGTTTATTCCATGTTGCTCCCAGTCACTTCAGTTTTGACCTGCATTGCCCTGCTCTTGCCTTCCTGGATCTCCCTTCAAATGAGGCTGCTGTTTAGCTAATATGTAGAGGGTAGACAAAGTTCCACCGAGTTTATTTCACTGAGCTCTTGTTGCTTTCATTCCTTTTCAAGTCTGCTATCTGACTGCCTAATTTCAAAAGAAATTATATTAACCTTTTGCACTACCTAGTGATGTTGTGATAATATAATATACACTTTTATTCTTATGCCTTGTGAATTTTGAGTCTCTGACATTTATTAGTTTATTGAGCACTTCAAGATGAATAACTGTACTGGTGTTAAGCACAGCTACTACCAGGTGGGTTTAGTTTTGAGTCTAACAAAGTCAACTTTATTCCTTGTGTCTATTTGTCTCTAGATGAGATTTTTGACAGTGAAAGTGATGACTTGAACACTGACCATGGCAAGGCTGATAGGACTATGAATGTCTCCAGAAGAGTAACAGCTAAACCTTAACAGAATAAGGGAGCCTCAAAGTCCAGGAAAAGGGCTATAGGTGGAGACTAATACAAATATACCTTGATCTAGAGCCTGTAGGCTGGCAGCCTGCCCTTTAACCAGATTTATTCACAAACACAACTGTGTTGAAATTTTTTTTAATTAATAGACTATGTAGTATGTGACAGTAATTTTTTTTATTGTAAACTTGTATTAAGATCTAATCGATCTAAATATGTGTTTTAAAGATTTCCCTCAATCCCCTATAAGTTGAAATGGCCACACCTCATTCATTGAAAAGGGTAGTAGTTTGGCGTTATTTTAGGGTCTGCATGTTTTGTATCTTAGAATAAATATCATTGGAAGACAGTCTTCTCCTCTTCTATTTAAAAATGTTTTTATAACTTTAGTTTCTAAAAACTGTGAAACATACATTTGAACGCAATTGAGAATTTTAGGGCACAACACTGGTATAAGTTTAAAGTTATGTTATAGAAAGCATGTTTTCACACCTAATTTCAGCTATGTTATCACTTAAAACTGCATATCTAAGTTATTTTATATTTAATAGTGGTTATATAATTTTATTCAAGTTCATGTTTTGAATTTTAGCTCCTTTTTTGTTTATTTTGTAGAAATTAAGGATAGAATTTACCCTTTTTGAATGAAATAAAGCTGCAGGTTATATCTCATACTGGCTTTTCTAGTCAGCTGTCAAATAAACTCACAACGCTTTGATCATTTGATATTGCAGAGGACAGTGAAGATGAAAAAGAAGATCATAAAAATGTGCGCCAGCAACGGCAGGCTGCCTCTAAAGCAGCTTCTAAACAGAGAGAGATGCTCATGGAAGATGTGGGCAGTGAAGAAGAACAAGAGGAGGAGGATGAGGCACCATTCCAGGAGAGTACGTGAAGTCGGCTTGTTTCTTTGCAGTTTGTGACCTTGATTACTTTGGCATTTTTGCGGATGCTAAATGTTATAACCAGTCCCTTAAATTAGATAGTCATTGTTAGAAAAGATGACTGTGTTGATATCTGTTGATATTTTAAAAGGTTCAAAGATTCTCATGGTTATGATGTCCATCATTTGTACTCAAATACTGAATGAACAGTTGTTAGAGTAAGCAGTTACATGGTGAGTGTTGTGATTAAGATTAGTATTTTGGCCTAGTGGAGAAAGGGTGTAGACCTCCCCCGACAAAAAAGTATTAATAGCAGAATTTAGATCTTGCACACGTTACTCAGATTACTTATATGTATTTTTGCTTTGTATGTAGTTTTCTTGTTTCATTTATTCGTAGTTGGACCAAACACACCAAGTCAGTTCAGTTTCATTTCCTGGGTCTCACCAGTACTATATGGGAATGATGGATATACCAAAAGTCTTTTGATGACTTCAATTTTTATTCAGATTGTCTTACCTTTTCCTGTTTTTGACCTACTCTTCAAACAAGTTAGTCATGTAACCCTCACGTGTGCTAAACCCATTTTACAGGTGGGGCCAGTAACAACTCCACCCAAATTGGTAGCACAGCTGCAGAAAGAATCCAAGAGTGTTTGACTCCCAAATCCCCTCCTCTCGTCATTCTTAGCACTCGTTCCCTTTGTTCACTTGGAAGGATGTATACATTAAGTTGGGCGTTGAAATTCTTCTTTCCTCTCAGAAGATTCCGGCAGTGATGAAGATTTCCTAATGGAAGACGACGATGATAGTGACTACGGCAGTTCAAAAAAGAAAAACAAAAAGATGGTTAAGAAGTCCAAACCTGAGAGAAAAGAAAAGAAAATGCCCAAACCCAGGCTAAAGGCTACAGGTGAGCTCTGCAGAAATGAAAATTATTGCTTTGAAAAATTTCAAGAACCAATAAACTTTCTCTACAGAAGTTCTCATTAGGGCTTGTTGTTGACCACGTACTTAAGAATTCTGAAAGGATCCTGTCTTTACACTTGGAAGTACTATTTATTAATAAGGACTTCAGCCCCTCCAAGAGTCTGGTAGCTTAGCCCTGTTCTTAACTACCACCGTACATAAGCAAGATTTGGGGATGACCTATTTGTGTCAGGCATAGTGGTAGAAACACTGTGTTAACATAGTTATTGCTCCCCTTTTTTCCCATCGATATCACAATCCCAGCAGCTAGTGAAGACTTGAAATTGTGAAAATGTACACCTACAGTAATACGTTTAAGTTCTGTGTTCTGATCCTTACACCATCCCCTGTGCTAGCAGAATGAAACCACACTTAACAACATGGATTTGTTATCTTTGAGCCCTTGTGGGTTCTGCCAGATATTCTCCTAGTTGGAGCTAGTTTGTCATTACATTAGGAAGCTGGATTTTATTATTATTATTATTCTGGCAAATAGAGCTGAATAGGTGATTTTTTAAACCTTTTTTTTTTTTTTTTTTTAAGGAAGATTAGCCCTGAGCTAGCATCTATTGCCAATCTTCCTCTTTTTTTGCTTGAGGAAGATTAGCCCTGAGTTAACATCTGTGCCAGGCTTCCTCTATTTTGTAGGTGGGTCACTGCCACAGCATGGCTTGATGAGCGGTGTGCAGCTCCACGCCCGGGATCTGAACCTGCTAACTCGGGGCCACCAAAGCAGAGCACGCAAACTTAACCACTACACCAGCAGGCCAGCCCAGATTTTTAAACCTTTTGCTCATCATTTCTTACTGTCAGGAATGATGGAACTACCAAGTTATTTGATGGCTTCAGTTTCTGCTCAGATTAAGTTGTATGCTTTCTTCTTCTTGACTCACTTCTTAAACATAAACAACTTTTATCATAAACAACTTTTAGTTTCACAAGCCACTAAGGATGATGTGCAGTTTCTGTAGCATCGTGTTTCTTTATTATGAGCGTTTCTGCTAATGTAACATTACAGTGTTGGTAAAAAGTGATTGGAGGGGCCGGCCCTGTGGCTTAGCGGTTAAGTGCGTGCACTCTGCTACTGGTGGCCCCGGGTTTGGATGCCGGGTGCACACTGACAGACCGCTTGTCAGGCCATGCTGAGGCCGCGTCCCACTTACAGCACCTAGCAGGATGTGCAACTATGACTTACAGCTATCTACTGGGGCTTTGGGGAGAAAAAGGGGCAAAAAAAAAGGAGGAGGCTTGGCAATAGATGTTAGCTCAGGGCCGGTCTTCCTCAGCAAAAGGTGGAGGATTAGCATGGATGTTAGCTCAGGGCTGACCTTCCTCACACACACACAAAAAAAGTGATTAGAAACCAGTGCCCACCTTGATTTTTAGTAGGTTGGGGTGTTGTCTTTAGAGATTTTATTCTTACAGATTGTTTTGTTTTGTAGCTGATTTTTATTAAAGACATTTTCTTCCTTCCCTTCCCCAAATTGATATTTTTCTTCTTTCAGTGACACCAAGTCCTGTGAAAGGCAAAGGGAAAGTGGGTCGCCCCACAGCTTCAAAGGCATCAAAGGAAAAGACTCCTTCTCCCAAAGAAGAAGATGAGGAACCAGAAAGCCCTCCAGAAAAGAAGACATCTGCAAGCCCTCCACCGGAGAAATCTGGGGATGAAGGGTCCGAAGATGAAGCCCAGTCTGGGGAGGATTAGAAGTGATGATGGTTTGGGGAGAGGTTTTATTAAAAAAAGAGGAAAAAAAAGAAAAAAGAAAAGGGGGGGGGGGCAAAAAAAGAAAACCTACTTAAGGTAGAATATGGTTTTGGCTATGGCTTGACTCATAGGCTTTCAGTGCTTTTTTCCTTTTGTTGAAAATAACATTTTCTCTCTTTTTTTTTAAGAAAACCATTGTATGTTTAATTTACCTTTTTGTCTATTGGTCTTCTCTTTGCCACCATCCTCTTCCCCATGAAAGCCACATCAAATTAATCACTGGATTGACTGCTTCATCTTTTTATTTTTAATGGAAGGTATACCACAGTTGTAAAGCAATAAGATTTGCATGAACACTATGGAAATTTTGCTTTTTGCCAACTGGTAGCAAATTGAACAGTAATCAAAAAACATAGAGGGTTTTACTTAAAAATGATTGCTTCTTTCTCTACCTAGACTTTTAAAAAAAATCAATTGTCATCTAATACGAGTTTATATATCTGTATACAAAAGTATGGATATCTAAAAAATCATGACTTTCAACTTCCACTGATGGGGCAGATAGGAGATAAAGATGAATTCTGAATTGTTACTAAAAGTATTCATGTTTTTTACCTTGGGGGCAGGGCAGAGAATGGGGTTACCTGACCTTGTTTGAGGGTATGGGTTTTTTTTTTTTTTTACTTCATCACTTGTTATCTCAGAGAGACTCAGAGCCAGCGATCCTTTTATCCTGCTACAGTCTTTAAGGAACTTAAAAAAAAAAAAAAAGCAAAGGCTGCCAAAACTTAAATCACTTTTGATTTTTTATTTCATTCTCTAATGGTTCATGTTTTAAAATATGTATGTGTCTATTCTGTTTCTTGGATAAAATTTTACCAAGGATCCAAAAAAGAAAAAAAAAAACCTAGACTCTAAATGGCAAGATCTATATACATCACAATGGATTTCTTCTCAAACTGACAGTGTTTAGGTTTTAAGCAAATAAAGTACCAGTTAATGTGAAACTCAATCACAAAGACTTGAGAATTTTCCTTTATGAAAACAGAAAATTAAAATTCTTTTATGCCATAAGTATGCATTCAGATCCCATGAATCATGCTCTGTTTTTATTTGGGGATAGACGTTTTCCTTTTCATACACCTGTCTTCCCATTTCTTTGTAGAACCATGATATGCAGTGCATCTTGACTTCTTGCTACTACGTAGGACACCACTGGACACCCACCCCCGTGCCTACCAGCTCTGCTGTAGGACATGATTTCTTCTGGCTCTCTTCCTCACTACTTCACATCCTGTGCTTGATAGGAGTATGTTCAGTGCTGCTCTCACGCTATTCAGTTTGCTTTCGTCTTTTTACTGGTGCCATTGCTTACTGCTCATGTTGCTTAAAGCAGTTTTTAAGGGGCTCAGCGGGGCTAGAAAAACCAGGCATTCAGGAGGCCTGTGTGCAGTTGATTACAGACTCTTTACATGCCTTATGAAAACAGTCAGGAAATAGATCTGTAGGTTTGGTCCTCTACATACTGATACCATGAGCTAATAGGAGCAAGGTTTAGGGGTCTTAGTGTGCTAATAAGTTGAAAAATTAGTGAAATTTAACTTCTGCCTTTTTATCTAGGTTTGCTTTCTCAATAGCTTACGCAGTTTTCTTTCTATCTTTTAAGTTAACAGCATATTTTTCTCTCAGACAACATGGCTTTCTTGCAGTTGTTCCTAGGACGAAAAGTTATTTAAGGAATATTTTTATTCTGATTTTTAAGACAGTTTAAGGAATATCCTTACTCTGTGATTTTTTAAAAAACACCCTAGTGGCAGAAAGTCATTTCACTGTTGCACTGTGTGTGTTAAAGAATGAATTTGGAGAGTTAATAGTCCTTGGCCAAAAATGCAAAATTTGAACATAAGTAGCTGTTGGATTATTATGTTTCATGATGGTTAACTTGATAGTTGTGAACTTGGTAATGAGAGTGTTAAAGATGCTTCTGTTTGCTTTAGTGGGTTTGTTCAGGTGTTCGATTTTAACAAGGAGGTTTGTATTTATATAGTAAAAGACCTATCAGTGTTTCCACCATGCACTTCTACTTTTAGGGGTTTATAACTCTATCTTACATTCCCAGTGACATTTGGGCTTTTCTTAGATTATGTTTTGTGAAGGTTGAGGGTAGGGGTCTTGTAAAACTTTAGCCTCAGTGCTTTATGTAACACACTCTCATTCATATATTAATCTGCACTAACATCTCTGTCATATACGCGCATACTTTAGAGGTAATCATGTCTTCTAGGTTACTTGTTGCATTTGGTTGGGCTTTTTGTTTGGTATCCCTTTTTAAAAAATTAATTCATGAGATTGAAAATGTATTATATATTTCTAACAGACTGGACAAAAGGATCTGTGTCCCCAAGTGAGACAGGCTCTGAATGATCTTTGTTTTCTCCACTTTTTATTGATGATTTAAAACACTCTAGTCTTCCCCTCAGATCATGCATGCAAATAGGAGGACAGCTGTGGTGTCTCAACTGGAAACAGGTGCTCAATAGTCAGGCTTGATAGTGATGTCGGGACGGGTTACAGGCTATAAGCTAATCGTGACTGGCCATTGGCACCACCCGTGACTGAAGTCCCCTTTTTCTCCAGTGTGCCTATGGTGAAATGGCAATAGCATTCACTGTCTTGTTTTGCAGTGCTCAGGAAGTGGGACATTAACCTTGAAGGTGCTTGTTTGTGTTATCTTAATTCTCTATGTTAGCTCTGTTAGGTTTACCTCTGGAACATGGATTTCGGCAGCTGTGCTGACTGACACTACATTCTAGTTCTTAAGATTCTTTTTTTCCAGGCTTCCCTCCCCAACACACACACAGCTAGAAATGGGTAGCTTACATCTTATTAAATCGGTCTGTAACTTGCTGCTGCTTTTAGCCCTCACCTCAGATTGGAATCAGTGGAGTGGGTCCACAGGATACATTTTAATTTCAGTAATAGTAGATTTGCCCTGCTTTCTAAAACCTCTCTCTTTCCTATCTTCACTCCCTATTGAGTCCATGAAGGAAAACAAATGGGTGTGTCCTCCTTTAGGGAAGTAATGAGTGGAAATCTTTTACTCTGGAAGAATAGTAGTTGATTTCCCATGAAGGAGCTTTGATATTGATTTTTTTTTTCCATAATAACTGGCTTTCCCCAGGTTCAATCCTCAGCTCAATACTTATTCTTGGTACTGGTTCAAATAGCATTTTCTTATAGGTAACTAATCAAGAGTGGAATTTGAAGTTATAGTGCAGGAGGGTTCTTGACACTCTTGTGGATATGGTCAGCTAAACTGAACTTGACACCTTTTTTTTTTTTTTTTTTACATTTTTATAATCCATGAACATTCAAGTAACAAGTGGATTTTAGAGTACTGGTTGGGGAAAGGGAGTAATGCTGTTCTTTAAACAAACCAGTGTAGGAGATGCTTTGAGAGTGTTAAAAAGGCAGGAGCAGAATTTAATACCAGGAGCAACAGGGAAAGCTTTATAAAAGATCATGTGGCCACCGTCGCTGTTCTAAAGAATGGGAGTTTCAGTTTGAACAGGTCTTTCTGTGCCTGCATCACCGGTAGCTGCACTGAGAAGAAGAAACTATCATCTTAGGAATTTGGAAAGGAAGAAACCTGGGGTCTGGTCTTTATGGCATTCAGACAGATACTTCAACAGAATGAGTGATACACATTTCCTGCCAAGGGACATGGAAAATAAAACAGGCTGGTTGCTCTCAAGGTTAGAAAATTATCCTTTTCTCTGTGCGTGGAGCTGGGTTTATTTGAAAAGGGAGTTAGTTTATTATTTGAATATTGGGACATCAAGCTATCTATAGCCAAGTTTCAATCTGCAACCCATTTTCCCCTTTGTCTTGGGATAAACTTGATACAAAATGACTTTTTAAATCCCTAAGTTATCCTTTTTCAAAGTTTAACTCACAGAATTCACAGTGGTGCTGACTGTGTATTAACCACTATTGGGAAAAGTCCCGTAAACCTGCCTGTTGCCATGCTGATGGAGTGACTGAACTGGTGACATCTGTTTGAGCATGCTTTGTGTGGCTGGTGGAATGCCACCATTGTGCGTACACTTTGTACATCAGGGGTGAAGGGAGGGTTTTCTAGATTATGGGGGAAGGGTAAAAGTGGGGGATTTTTGTTGTTCCTTTTTCTTTGGGGTAGAGGGGTATAGTACTCAGCTTATGCCCTAAATAACATATATAAAAACCCCTGAAGTATTGTGTGTGTGTGAGTGTGTGTGTGTGAGTGTGTGTTTGTATGTCTGGCAATTAAACCTTCGTCTTCTGGAAATCAGTGAATTTTTTTCTTTTATTCCTCCAGAAGTATTTGTTACAAGATTTGTAAATAAGAGCTCTACTTAGTTTGTTTACCATGAACATGTTGCAGCAAACCTTATACACCTAATTCCTGCAAGATTTAAGGAAAGATTTTAAGATTTGCCAGGTTAAGCAGCAGCCAGGTTCTCAGTAATTGCCTTGATTCATCTTTCAGACTTCATTTTGCCAGCTCCAAAACTCCCAGTCTTTCTTGATTTTAGTCCTTAATCTTTTACGTTCTGAGCAGGAAGGGTAAAAGAGAGGAACCTGCTTAAATGTATTTAATTAGTCCATCGGCTGAGACCGGGGCAGTCCCTTTCTTAATACTGCAATGTTGCTGAATATGTGATCAGACACCAGAGGATTGGGCATTCTTGCAATACCTTAACAGTGCTGAAATCTGCAGCATGGTACTAAGGAAGTTAAAGTTTGAATGTAACCACTTTATTTAAAAGTTTTTTTTTTTAATTTAAATGAAATGGGGTTGAAGTGAACATGATTTTGTTGACCATGTTCGTGAATTATAGATGCAACATGCATTGGTAGACTTGTGTGATGGTCTTTTGTGATACTTAATTTTTACATATCCCAGTCTCTGTATGTATCTGCATAGACAAAGAAAAAACAAACTCTTGCTTTCTTTTGTTGAAGGGTTTCCAGGACTGCGTGTCTGCTCCTGAGCTCTGTTTTAAGTATGTGTATCCTTTGCTTGTATTTTGTATTAAAAAATAAGAAAAAGAACCCTTTATTGTTGAGCATGTTGGCATTGTCCCCATTATTTTTTTCTTTTTGGGACATATGAAGCAAGTTATTCTTTTTCTGTATCTTTTTTTCTTTTGTAAACTTTTTTTTGTTTTGTTTAAAAATGGCTTTATAAAAGGGCTTTTATAACCCAGATGTGTGCTCTGTGTACTTATTGTAATACTCTCAAGTAAATACACTGACTTACTATACAGCTGATCACCTTGGCCTGTCAGCTCTCAGTCCTGCCTGACTTTGGGGCGGAACCTGCTTCCTGAATGAATTCTTTAGAAAATAACTGACCATCACTGTTGGTAACAAGAAAAGCATGTCTTGTCTCAAGTCAAAAGGAGTAATTAATACTTCAGAGTATAGAATCTAGAGGCAATAGATTCGCTAACTTGGTTAATCAAGGGAGCACTGGACTGGGTGCATGAGGATTCCTAGGTAGCATTTTTTCTCATGTTTGTGTCCAAGTTATGAAGTGTTGTGGAGGGTAAAATTCTTTCAACAATCATATGATTATATATAATAAAGGATAATGTTTATACTCACAAAACAGACATTTGCATTCAATTTCAAATACCTGTAAAGGAGTACACCATCTTGCAATTTAGAATTAAATATTACTTCTTAGATGGAGAACATGGTACAAGATCCCTCTTTAGAATTGGGCTGAGGGGTCGGCCCCGTGCCATAGTGGTTAAGTGCACCCGCTCTGCTGCTGGTGGCCCGGGTTTGGATCCTGGGTGCACACCAATGCACCGCTTGTCGAGCCATGCTGTGGCGGCGTCCCACATAAAGTGGAGGAAGATGGGCAGCAGGAGGAAGGATGTTAGCTCAGGGCCAGTCTTCCTCAGCAAAAAGGAGGATTGTCTTTGGATGTTAGCTCAGGGCTGATCTTCCTCACCAAAAAAA